ATGGGACAACGCACTTCTCCTCCTTTCAATGTCATTGAGGAATGAGGTTCGAGAAGGAATTTGTCTTTTGGCTTTCATTGGATTTCAATTACTTGATAGAATGTCAGGGGAGAATATCGCTTTGTAACTAATCGACTATGAATGCATGTCGTGCTATAAATTAGTGATTAGATTGGAGCACATTGGCAAGTCACTTCTAAGAATTCTGCCCCTACATCTTCTTTAGGCGGAACACGTGTGGAGGACCCCGTTTACCAATTTAACACAGAAGTCCTAATAGTAACAATAAATAACAATTAATTAAATCAATACAATACTTTTACAACTTTTATTTTAAAAACAAAAATATTTTATACTTTATTTGCTTCCCGTAGGGTAAGTTATTGTAATCGTCCAAAAATCGAAATTGAAAATTTTTACATTTCTTCACGTTTTGAAGGTTTCTGAACATTTTGACATACCTCAGAAAAAATGGATGTGTGTGTAAGTAAGGATGAATACAATTTTGCGTCCGGGCGCACGGATCAACCGATTTGATTGGTTCAAAAAACATTCGATTCCTATTGATAGGGAGGTGTGCTGATTAGTTTTTGGCAAAGCTAGGTCCAGCCGTTTCGGAGATACGGAGCAAAGAGTGCAGAAAATAGAAATCGAGTTTTTGAGAGATCGGAGCATCCGATTTGGATGATCTTAAAAACCATCAATTAGTAATGATTGGGAGAAGTGGTTATTAGGATTTGGCAAAGGTAGGCTAAATGTTTAAAAATGACAGTTTTTTGAGAAAACTAAGCGTTCGATTTAAATGATTCAAAGAACTTTTTGCTTGTTTTAACAAAATAATTGATTCTGAAAAAAAAATGTTTCAAAATAATTTTTGTTTCAAATTTTTTTTTTCAAAAAAAATTTTTTTTGTATATCGAAAATATATCAGATTTTATTTTCAATTCTGACTAAAGTTCTAATATACTTTAAACAAATAATTTCAAATTTGCAACTCAATTTATACAATTCTTATAAATATTAGACAATGTTACAGTATTTATTTATAATAATCTATTTGAAAACATTCAGTATTTCTCGAACATTTCGTTACGGTACGGGAAGTTCCAGCAATTTGCGTTAAGGCACAATGCCATACACCTCACTAGTTTTCTATTGCTATTAAAAAAATTGAGATTATAAAAAAACTAACTAAAATATATAATCAACAAATAGAATTTTTATCTAAATTATAAATTATAAACTTTTATCTTATAACAAATATTTTCTTTATTTTCAATTTATAGAGCACAATTATACGTATGTGTATTGAATATTAATTTTAAGAACATATTATTAGTTCAAATTTTTATTTACATTAATTATTCTTTTACAAAGATTCTAACTCTCGAAAGAAATGTTTTTTTTTAAATATTCGAAAACATTAATAAAAATATTGATATGATAGCAGTAGGTATATAGTAATATATTGTAAGGATGACGTGCAAAATTGAACTTACCTAATTGAAATGGATAATAGTGCTAATTTTAACATTTTTATATATTCTGAATGATACTGTAACTAATATACTAAACATAATACTGAATAATATATTTGATTTCATTATAATAGTAATTTTAGTAGAAGTACTAAAATTACTATTATACATTTGGTTACTATTAGTTCATTTGATTATGCTTCATGCTAAAATTATTTTTGCAATATATAAATATATAGAGCACAATATTTATATATATATATATATATATATATATATATATATATATATATATCTTGTATATAAAAATGGAGCTCTCGATCAAATAATCCGGTAAAACTCGAAAACGGCTAAACCGATTTGGCCAGCCTTGGTCTTGAAAAATTCGTGCTAATCAGTAGGTTGTCGGAAAGGTGAGATATTGTTTCAAAATCGCATAGAAACTTTTCATTTTCAATTTGAACATTTTTGTAGAAGGGTAATTTGAATAAAACAATGGACAGTGGCTAATACGTCAAATGTCATGGTTTTTGAAAGATGATGTTCAATTACGTTTAATAGGATGTTTTGCGTGAATATTATTTAATTATAATTAAATTGTAATAAGTAGTTTTGTTCGTAGTTATATTTATACACAAAAACGTTATTATACGGGCCGTAAGTGTTACTAGAAACTCAAAAAATAAACTTTTTTGAAATGTTAATATGAAAATGCACCTTTTGGCATATTTTTCTCAAACACGATGCTCTGAAAGATCTCATTTGTATAATTATATGCTCATTGGTATTTATAAAACATTTTCTAGGTTATATTATTTTTTATTTATGTTATTTAAATTTAGAACCCTAATTTGGTATTGATCAAAGGGATATTTTGTCGAATAACATTTTCCCAGTTATAATTTCCCAGAATTTATCGAAGAATAGATAGTAATATATGAAGGTGCGAGGTTAAAAAGGTCCACCACCGATGTGTCAAAAACCAGTAAAGCTAAGCATTAAGCAACAATAATATTTGAAAGTAGAGGGAAAAAGATGTATAACCAGCTATAACCTTGATTCTTTTGACTTTGATGTTGGGAGATTCATGGTAATCTTTGAAAATCCATAGTAAAAGTATTTTCTTCTGTTGGTACTTTTTTAGCATTAGTTAAAAATGTAATTATTTTGTAAAATATCTTTAAAATTAAAATAAGACATTAAACCTGTTTGGCATCTGGCCGTTCCAAGTTACTCCGCTTATAGGGTAAAAAGGTCTAGATAACAATTTTTTGAAAGACATGAAAAAGCACATTTTTACAATGATGAAGTAGCTGGGTAGTTTTACTGAACGTAGTCAGATAATTATTCGTTTGAAATGTGTTATTCGTTGTGATAAAATTGGTTTGATTTTCATAATAAAATTTATATTTGCTCAAAGTCAAATTGAGCCTTTGTGTCTCGCCCTGCTCTACATATATACTTTTTATTAAATTTACTTGAATTCATCGAATATTGCTTGAAACTTTTCAAAAAGCAGGTCCAAGCAGATATATCTAATGCATTTTCTATCTCTCCTCAGTAGTATTATTTACAATTATAGACAAAATCCAGAATCTGAAAAACTTGAAACGTAATCAATAAGTCAAGAGACCAAAAAAGACTTGGATGGATTATACCATGTTTTCTATATAGAGATAAAAGTGTATAAAACTTCCAGTTTGATTGTTTGGACAAAATATAGACAAACTAATGGGGTTTATTGTTTTTATAATACCACATTGTATATAGCATTCAAACAACACATCCTTATACACCTAAAGTATTAATATTTTTGATTCTCTAGAAATAGTTTAGAATATACCTTACTTAGCAAAACAACGTTTGCCGGGTCAGCTAGTATATATATATATATATATATATATATATATATAGATATAAAGATATATTTATATATATATATATATATATATATATATGCGTGTGTGTGTGTATTTATTTATAAATACCAAGCGGGAGCATGAACGAATGCAAAACTCAAAATATCATAAAATTTTCATGAACCATTTTACATTGTATTTATGTTTTTGTCTGCAAATTCTATACTCATAATACGCTGATTTATAGTTATTATCCTGTTTTCATTGCCAATTTCAAAGTCTGTTTTGTAAAAATATCCGGATATTTAACTTATATTAAACAAATAACTTATATTTCAATACTGTTTGTTTCTCTTGTATTTCCTTGGATGTTTTTCTTAAATAATTAACTATTGCTTTTATGGAAATTGCATCAAGAAAACATTCGTTTTAGTTCGTAAAACAAAAAGTTTAAAAAAAGTATGTTTACTGGTGATAATTAAATATTTGTCGAGGAATCTTTAAATGTAAATAAAAAATACTGTTTATCCATGAAAGATCTGTTCTTGTAAGCTTGTGATAAAATGTGGAACATACAAAATATTATGGCGATGATGATGGGATATATTGATCTTACAACCTGATTTTAAATCGAATATTAGCGATGTTATTATTGACTTTGAAACATAGAGCAAAATGAGATTCGACGTTACTTTAAGTGATTGGATAGGATTGGAAAAATTGATTTGACCACCTTATACACATTATGAACATGAACACACTAAATAAAATGTTTAACTAGAGGTGCATAGTATAGTGCCTTAAAACAAATTGCCGGAACTTCCTGTATCAACAACTATATTATTAAAAAAACTGAGATAAGATTAGATTTTTGAGAAATCTTGAAATTTTTTAAAAAATTTACTTTTATTTAAAATTCGAAATCATTTTATATTTAGATTTTTTTGAAAATTTTGAACATTTTCTTAAGCAATTCCACTCCATGGCTGTTTTGCAGTCGAAATATCAAAGCTCGTAAGCGCCGCGTAGTCGTCTAACTTGTAAACATTGGTACAGAACTCATATAAATATACACAATATTTGTTTTGTATTATAATCTTTATAAAATATCTGATGATACAAGGTACGTATGTCTAATGTTCAGTGTTGACTGCCAAATGTCATTATTTTTGACTTTTTTTATTGAATCTCCGAAAACGCTGGACCTGCCTTTACAAAAATTTCACCAGTTGTTCATTTGTTCAATACAAGTAAAATGATTTTTGAATTATTTAAATAAGATACTCCGTTATCCTAAAAACTGAAATACCATTTTTGGCACTTTTTGTCCTATACCTCCGTAACGGCTAGACCTGCTTTTTCCAAAAACTAATCAGCACGTCTCCTTATCAGTAGAAATTGAATGTTTTTTGAATTATTCAAATCGGTAATAACAACAACCGAACGTAAAATTTACTTATTTGACCTACTGATCTAAATATAATATAATATGTTATAAACATATAACAGTTTATGAAACTCTCATATATTATATCAACTTTTCATATTAATTATGTTATACAAAAGTTTAATTAAATTATGTTATATGGAATGATTTTGCCTGCTTTAATATATTGTTACCAGATATTTGATCATTTTAGCTTATACTTTTTCTTTTTTTCAGGAAAATGGCAACTCGGATGGGTCCTATGCGATGTTTGGATATCTTTAGATATTCTTTTATGCACAGCATCGATTCTAAGTTTATGTGCAATTTCCGTAGATCGTTATTTAGCCGTTACACAACCTCTAAACTATTCTCGACGAAGAAGATCTAAAAGTTTGGCACTTCTGATGATATTGGCAGTATGGATATTGGCACTTGCCATAACTTGCCCGCCGATATTAGGATGGTAAGTTTTAAGTTAGGTATTTTGTATTACGCTTATAACTTTGGTTCTACTAGATAATATTTAGCTTGTCGTAGTATTATTATTAACTTCCCGTAAAGTAAATTATTATAATTGTCTAAAAATCGAAATTGAAATTTTTTACATTTCTTCATGTTTTGAAGATTTCTGAACATTTTGGCATACCACAGAAAAAATGGATGTGTGTGTGTATGTATGTATGGATACAATTTTTCGTGCACGTTTTCGGCCGCACGGATCAACCGATTTGAATGGTTCAAAAAACATTCGATTATTATTGATAGGGAGATGTGCTGATTAGTTTTCGGCAAAGGTAGGTCCAGCCGTTTCGGCGATACGGAGCAAAGAATGCAGAAAATAGAAGTCGAGTTTTTGAGAGATCGGAGCATCGGATTTGAATTATCCAAAAAACATTCAATTCGTAATGACGGGAAGAAGAAGTAATTAGTTTTTGGCAAAAGCAGGTCGAGCGGTTTCGGAGATACAGAGCTAAATGAGCAAAAGATGGCAGTTTTTGAGAGAACTATGCATCTGATTTTAATGATATAATAATTGCTATTGAAAGAAAAAAATTGTTTCATTTTTTTTCAATTTTTTAAAAAAAAATTTTTTTTTGTATATCGAAAATAATTCAGATTTTATTTGTAATTCTGACTAGAGTTCTAATATACTTTAAAAAAAATATTTTCAACTTTACAATTCAGGTTTTATAATTCTTATAAATATTAGACAATGTTACAGTATTTATTTATAATAATCTATTTGAAAATATTTAATATTCCTCTAAGATTTCGTTCGGGAAGTTCCAGCAATTTGCCTTAAGGGGTTAGGGGTACTTGCAGGCACGAAAAAATGAGTGTTTTCAGTATATTTCTTTTGTTATTAAACGATGTTTTTCTACAAAAATATTAATACAGCATTATTATACAATGTGTTGACTTGATGTAACAAAAATTTCAGAAAAAAAAAATCAATATTCCCAAAGTTATAGCTGTTATTGTTGACCCTGTTTCGAAAAACGGTCCTGGCGGTGACCATCATAACTCCTTGGAGATTCATCTAAAATCAATCATATTAAAAAAAATAGTTTTATGAATAGTTAATCCCGGGCCGGATCGAAGGATTTCTTTTTTTTTGCAAAAATTAACAAAATGGCAGCATCAGAAAGAAAAAATCTACATTTTTGGGTAAAAAATCAACAGTTAATTGGTGTTAAAAAATTCAAATTTTTGAAAAAATAAAAATCCTTCGATCAGGCACGAGTTTATTATGTATTTTAAAAGCTGTGTAAATTTCATTAAAATTTACTAAGTGGTTTTCGAGTTACAGTGGTCACCGTTTCAAAAAACATAGTTTTGAGAAAAACGCGTTTAAAGTTTCACATTGGATTTACATACAGAAATTCGAATTATTGAATTACTTAAACCGAGTCATCTATTTCTGGGCCATATAATAGTTCATCAGTCATTGTGCAAGTTTCCAAAATTTCCATTTGCTGTTGCCTACGAAGCATTTTGGCCTCTCGAGATGTTCTCGTTGGCGCGCTTATCTGCCAGTTTCACACGTGCAGCATCCAATTTTTCAGCATACTAATGGGAATTATACCCACAATTAGGTTGTAGGGTATCCATAATCAATAATAATAATTATGTATATGCATTCAGCAATTTGTACGATAGTAAAGCTAAGTATTCACGGTTTCTAGGTATATTTTTACACTAGTTGGTTGAAGCATTTAATTTTTTCTGATTATGGATTTGATCTTGAACTACGCATCTTGAAAGTAAATTATAATTGCTGAGATCGTCGTAAATCAGTTTGAAAGCGTTTAAAACATCAGGAGGTGAGGGAGAATGGTCTTGAGTATAAATATCGAGCTCTCCACTTGCGTCAACGCGCTGGTAAGAGTCCAATAACTCAAAAAGTAATCATCGGATCAACTTGAAATTTTCAGAGAATATTTTCAAGATGTTACCCTTAATGAAAATGTAAAAAAATAAAAACCGATTTTTCAAAAATCCCAAGTACCCCTAACCCCTTAAGGCACGATGCCATACACACCACTAGGTTTTTTTTTATTCAGCACGGTTGTGATATGCTAGATTTATTTCAGTTTAATTTAATTACTTTTTAATCCAACACTGTAAAAAAAATTCTGTTTTGTTTGCATTGAAATATATGTTGAATTGAAAAATCTATTCTGGGGGTTTTATGAATAAGGGTGATTCAATTTAAATAAATAATAATCTTTTTAATTTTGAAACATGCACAAAAAAATATTTCACTCAGAAATCTATTTTTTTAACACTGATTTAATTATTCAATTTTAATAACATAGTGAACCTATAATAAATCGGAATAGAATTTTTCAAAATCAAATGTTAAACGAGTATTTCAATATTTTGAATTTCGATGATAATTTTTTATGACTAAAATTTAATAAGGATGTTTAATATTTTTAATAATAATAATAATAGTAATAAAAATTACGAATAATAGAAGTGCAATAAAATAAATAAATAAACTGATAACAAAAATGATAATAATACTAAAATTGAAGTAATAATAAGGATATTTAATTAAAATTTTCAAATTCGTGCGATCTCACTAATAACAAATATGTTTACAAAAATAATGTTTTTTTTCACAAAATAGCGATGTTTGAAAAAAATGTCTTTCACAACTTTTTCTGATATTCCCGATTTTTTAAAAATAGTAAAAGTTGGAATTTTGGGGTGATATAGGCGGTTCAGTAGTATATAGTTGAGAAATCGTGGGTATCGTATTAGTCCAGTCATTTGGTCGTCTTGCCGGTACAGTACTCCGGGAATTCTGAAAATTGGTAATCTTATAGATTTCAAGGTGCTCTTTACGGAAATCAACTTTGCCACCTCAAATTTGAACGGCAAGTTGCCGCCATATTAAAAAAATGGCGTCAAAAAACAGCTTTTTTAAAATATCTTCTTTCTGGCTCAATCTACGATAAAAGTATCTATGTACGAATTAAACTAGAGAAAATTTCCTACAATTCCTTAGAAAACCGTTTTTTTGTAAAATTGATAGTTTGAGAGTACGGCCGCCTCAAAGTCTTTGCTGCTCTCGCCGTAGTATCAAATCTGTCCATATATGACAGCACTTCGTACTTGACCACATTCTCTCTAATAATTAATATTTTCAATATTAAATTGAGCGAATAATTTTTTCAAGTTTTCCAGTTTCAAAAATTAGCAAAAATTATGAAAACGATTTTTGTCACTGCCTCATGATCATACTTTTGCAGTTTTGGCTCGAATTTTACCGTTTTTCGCTTTGGATGCTTGCGCCATTTATTTTATTTATTATGCAGAACTGTTAGTTATTTTTTTACTGTTGCGAATAAATAAAATATTGAACTGTTTTAAATAACATTTTTCAAAAATTATGGTCACATTTCTTGAAGTATTATATTAGCTTTCAAACAAAACTAATTTTATTTGATCTAATTTATCTTTATAGCGCATGATTTCAAATCATCTGTTTTTTTTTTCTTGTTTTAATGCCCTTTCTGAAATGTATTCTATTGATCACCATCAATAAATGATAAACAGATAAAGATTTAGAGTTAGAGTAGATTTACAGTTTTTTATTTTGATATCTACAGTCTTCTACAGTTTTTTTGGCCGTATTTACAGTTTTGGTCTATGCTCGAGTTGGCATTACTGACTGATGCCTGGCACAAGTGTCAATTTGTACTAATTGTAAGTTAATTATGAATAAAATTGAACAGAATTTTAAAGAGAGCTTAAAAACAAAAAAGAATCTAATAAGCACGCAATATAACAATTTTTATACATTATTATACAGCTATTAACCGTAAGGATTGTATTTTTAAATAAAAAAAGTTTGTAGTATTTTAAAAAAAGAATAGGATGAAACTATAAACTGAAAGATTTCTGTAGGTTATAATCTTATATAATTATCCGTTACATGTATATTTGTTATAAGCTTTTATATAACTGGAAGTAAACTTAAATAAAACATAAATATTCAGTAGTTTAGAGCAATTTCAAAAAAAAAGTTATTTGGCCCTATAGATCGAAAAATATAAGATATAATATTATATACCATAGAATCGTATAATAGTCATACTAAATATCAGTATATTTATAAAAGTTGATTTTTAATAAATTCATTAATAGTATTTTTAATTTTAAATCATATTTAAATGACTTATGATAACTTCCTTCCCCCTCCTCGGTTTTAATATAAAAAATATGATCACCTTAATTAACTTTCCGTAGGGTAAGTTATAGCAATCGCAAAAAATCGAAAATGAAAAAAATTTTTGCATATCTTTACGATTTAAGGTCTTTTGAACATTTTACCTTAAAAAAAACTGATGTATGTATGGTTTTATGTATGTATGTGTGTGCGGATACAAATTTTCGTCGACTTTTTCGAAAACACGGGTCAACGGATTTGAATAATTCAAAAAACATTCGATTCGTATTGATAAGAAGACGTGCTGATAAGTTTTTGGCGAAGGCAGGTGGAGGTTTTTGAGTGAACAGAGCGTCCGATTTGTATGATTCAAAAAACATTTTTTTATATTGACGAAATGAAGAAATGATGAAATTTTTAGGAAGCAGGTCTAGCGGTTTCAAAGATCTAATAAAAAAAGTGAAAAAAGCCATTTGGCGGACAAAAATGACCATTAGACATATACACATCAAATTATCACTCTTTTTATAGATTTTCAATGATAATAACGAAATTTGTCTAATTTTCTATGAGTTCCGTACCAATGTTCCGTAGGATTGCGACGCGGCGCCCACGCGCTTCGATATTTTGTTTTCCAATAAAATATCGTGATTGCTTTAAAAAGTTCAATTTTTACAATATTTCAAAGTATAAAAAAATGTAATTTTTCAAAAAGGGGCCGTTCAAGTAGTACGTAAGCACTATAGGGGGGCGGGAGGGGGTTATTGATTTGCTTATTTTGCTTATTTTGGGTAAGAACTTTTGCTTACTTTTGCTGACAAAGAGGAGGGGGAAAAGTAAATAATTGTAATAAATCTGCTTACGTAATACTTGAACGATCCCAAAAGTCAATTTTTTTTAAAAATCACAATAACCGATTTTTTTCAGGATTCGAAAAGAAAATTGAAACGTTTTTCTAAATAATAATTTTTGGTACGGGAAGTTCTAGCAATTTGCCTTAAGGCACGATGCTATGCACCACTAGTTTAATCACGTTCTATATTATCATTTAACTACTAATACAGTAGAACTGCAATTATCCGAATTAATGGGGACCGGGGCCCATTCGAATAATCAAATATTCGGATAATCGGAGTTTTTTTTTTTAAATTGCCATTGGAAAGAAAAAAAGTTACGTTTTGATATTGCACTATTTTTTTATTGAATTAAATGAAAGAAATATGATATTTTCACATGTTTTAAATATAAATAAAAAATAAAATAAATGTACTTATGTACAAGTTTAGAAATAAAAATCATTGTTTTTTAAACATCTCCGTCAAATCAAAACAAACAATGTGCCTACACTGGCTTCGCTGGTGGAAGAATAATAGCGCCCTTAGACTTTTTGTGGACAATTTTTTTTCTGAAAGTGATTAGGATAATCGGCGATACGGATAGTCGGAGTTCTACTGTATATCGAATGCAACATGTAATAATTACCCAGAATGCTCTTTGATATTCTAGGTACGAGCACGGGCGCACCGACTGCCGGTACAACCGCAACCCGGGCTATGTGGTCTTCTCGGCCATGGGGTCGTTCTTCTTGCCCCTGCTGGTCGTCCTGTACGTGTACGCTAGGATATCCTGCGTGGTCGCCACCAGGCACGACAGGCTGGGCGAAATGCGCAACGGCGAGAATAATATTCAGGTATTAATTTTTAATTAACCCGGAGTGATTTATTAACCCTGGTCGCTGGATTTCTGTTAAATGCAAGGATTTTGGGTACTCTTGTGGCTAAGAATTATTTTATGCTGGTGTAATTAAGTCATCGTTTGAATAATAAATTGACAATTTAGATGGCTTAAGAATGCATTATAGAAATTTATAATTTATTTATTATTTTGGTATACTTTTTATTAATAAATTTATTATATATTATGCTTAAGCAATGTTAAATTTCAAGTTGAATCATCATTAATTAAACTAGGTGTAAGTGTCATTTTGCCTTAAGGCATGTTGTATAAACTAACGACCTTTCACATGCATAATTCACCAGTAATTTTCAAACATATTTATTTCACATTGCCTTTGGATAATCTGCAAACCAAATTGCAATTGAATATCTGAAAATATGTTTATAAATTATTGCTGATTTATACAAAAAAAATCCGTACATCTTTAATTTAAACTCGATAGTCGTAAAAAGAGCCAGGAAACGACAGATATTATAAGATTTTAATTATCATGCAAAAGAATTACTAGATCGAAGATTTTGGCGTTTTTTTTTTTATTCTTTTTCAATTTTTTGTCATTTGTTCTATAATTTTGACTTTCGATTCGTGTTCAGCGGCAAAAACTGCATACCGTACATCCAATACAGACAACTTTTTTTGTAGACTTGTTGAATCTATTAGAAATCAATATATTATACTGTGAGAGATTTATAATTATACCTAATTGCTGTAAACCATTATAAACTTAGAAAGAATTCCGGATCATTCAATTTTATACAAATTTCCCAAATATGTTGGTTATTTTCAACAAATCTAATATACTATAATAAATATTCGACTCGTTGAACGAAATACACGATCTATTTTCTGAAAGAGCGACCCATTACTTCTAGCTTTAAATAATTACCCTTATTCTAAAGAAACGGCTTCGCCGATGGTTTTGGAAGACTAATCAACATGTGTCCTTAACGATATTATACTTTTATAGCTTGGTTTTAAATTTTTGAAATCAACCGTTTTTGAGAAATTTTTAACGAATGGTTCAATTTTGGCTCACATACACATATATACTAATATTTCCAATTTTGATGCAGAAATGATTTTGAATAAAATTGGTAAATTCGCTTATTTGCAATTCGTTAAAAATTTCAGTTTACTAAACGAACTCTATAAGCTAAATTAATATATTAATTTTTCATCCATTATATGCATTATCCAACAGAGCTCTAACTTTTCTAACTAATATTTACAAATACCTAAGAATCTTTTTGATACTATGGTCCTTAACAATTATATATCATTTGCCTGACTGAAAGGTTTCAAATACATATACAGTGCTGGATTTACAGTAGGGGCAGTCGGGGCTACTGCCCAGGGCGGCAAATTTTCGGGGGCGGCAAAATTTGGATAGTGAGAAGAAAATTATAATTAACTCACTTTTTTAATAACATTTTTAATTTCAAGAAATATAATTAACAAAACATTATGCAAATGCAAGGCAAAATTTGGCAATTTGGCTAATATAAAGATTCGTAAGTGAGTTGAAACATTAAGAAAAATATGTTCTTCAGATCTCGAGACCTCTTAAGATGACGAATTTGTGACCTCTCTTAAGCTAGCAAGACCAAATTAGCAAAATCGATCCGGACCTGTTGTATTATTTAGTACTTATTTTGCACTAATTTGCACCACAAAAAAAAAATTTGTACTACGTGCAAGTTACTGAAACTTTCCGTACTGAAAATTACATTTTATAAAAAGCTTTAAAATTTTTTGAAAAATGATAAAAATTGAATTCAAAGAAAATTTTTTTTATATGTCGAAATTTTTTGAAAATTATTAAGTTTCATCTATTAAACTTATTAAAATTAAATTTTATTTGAATAATTCGATTTCTATTGATAGCGAGACGTGCTGATTAGTTATTGGCCAAGACAGGTCCAACTGTTTCGGAAATACTGGCCAAAATGCCAAAAATGATAATACCGATTACTATGGCAAATACTTTTTCTTAGGACTAATCTCAGTACAAGAAAGCAAGCAAATTATTAAACTAACTTTTGAATAAGTTTCAATTTAAATAATTGGGATACTGATATTGTTATGGTATCGAACCAATATTTTATGACAAAATATTGCAAAATCAATAATATTATCATATTATTATGGATTATAATGTTATGTCCAATTACAATATTCCTATTACTAATAGTAACATATGTTACAAGTACTAAAAATCAGGTCAGTTCTATATTAGTAACATAAAAATTCAAAATAAAAAAAAAATGATGGAAAAAAATACAATTGAACATAATATTATGATCCATAATAATATGATAATATTATTATCCAAACCATACACTTGTTCAAAACGTAATATAGACGTTCTTAAAATTGGACATTTTCAGATTGAAAAACAAAGATTATTTTAAAAGTTTTATTATATTGAATATTTGGACATTTAACATCTGCGTATTTTACATTTTTCATTACACATTTATATATTAATTAAATATAATTAATAAAATAATTAAATTGATAATCATTATACTTATAGCTAAGATGCAACTATTTTCCACACCACCCAGGAGGTATAGTTGCCAGGCGCGCTTTTTTTAATGTGGTGTCGCCGTACAGCCCTAGTCCACTTACAAAATAACTTAAATTAATTAACTAAACCTAATTTAAGCCTAACTTAAATGACCCAAATGTAACACGAAAAATACCCCGCGAGATGATTAAATGTATATGAAGATCTTCTTTAGGAAAAAACCGTAGACGATGCAAGAACCTGCTAGAAATTAAAGGTAAAATTGTAATGTACTTTTGTAATTAAAGGTAATTTTGTAATGAAGAGAAAAAAAAAGAAAAGAAAAAAGAAAAAAAAAGTATTTACATGATGTACCCCCCTAAGATCCACCATGTAAATACTTTAACTTCATAGGTTCCCAGCACTATGAAGCTTATAGAGGAGTGCATTTATAAAGGTCATAAAATTGTGTATTAAGTATTGTTATATGAATTAATTTTAAATAATTGTGAAAAAACGCGAAATCTATGCGAACTGGAAGGTCCTTGCCGTCTTCCCCACCCATTTTTAAAATAAAAAATAGTAAACTACCAGCCTAATGTATTCTAACCTAATTTTAACTTAATAATATATCCATGTGTACGTCCTCCAATTTTGTAGTCAATTTTCTGGTTGGTTCTAATCTTGTATGTATCTTCATCTCGTATGGATCTTGATGTTGATGTTCCACTGTATGTATCTTGATCTTGAATTATATCTTGATCTTGATTTGTAAATATTAAGGTTTTGCACTGTATATATCACGATATATCATTGTACACAACACTGTCTGGCACTGTATTTAACACGATTTTGCCCAAAATATATCTTATTTATAATATGTATATAAATCCGTCCACGAATCAAATATAAAGAATGAAAACGTAAATGGGGCCCCGATAAAATAATAATATAGTATATAATATAATAATAATATAGAAAATGATCGCAAAAAAACTAATATCTTATGATCTATCGTCGCATGCAAGTAAGATACATATCTTAATATAACAAAATAATATAGAAAATGATCGCAAAAAACTAATATCTATCTTAGCAAGTAAGATACTTATCAACATAACGTTCTCCTGGTCGTGTGCTCCTGGTGGTGGTAAAGTGGTCCATCCTACTTAGCAAAGTGATCTACCTTAGTAAGTAACAAACTTATCTGAATATAACAAACGTTCTTCTGGTCTTGTGCGCTCCTGGTTGCAAAGTGGTCCATTCTATCCTTGTACACTGGTAATCACTAACGTCCTGGTAAACATTCTTTCGTTTTAGTAATAGTGTTTTAGGATCTATTCCTCTGGTAACTTCTGTGTTCAACCTAAAATTAAAATTTTATTTAATTCTATCAATATTAAAAAGATTTGTACATAGCTCAGAGTTTCTTACCATGTCCTGAAAATTGCCAAGTTCAACCACTTATAAATTCAGCATCTTCCACCAGGAGACTCATTGTGCGACCAGTAAAAGTAAAGTTAATTCTTGAAATTGTGTTCATTACATTACGACACGAAAAGTAATCAAAGTAAGTTGAAAACATTATAATAGAATTTTATAAATCTAAAAAAAAATTATTTTTTTCCATGGGCCACTTAGCGAAATAATTAAAAAATTAAATTTAATAATAATTGCAAACAAATAATATTAATTGTTAAATTATGTGCATGGGGTTGCGGTGCTTCTGGGAAAACAACGCAGGGGTCCATACACTCAGAGATACAAAACAAAAATTATTCAATTAATAAATTAAATTTAAATGTGAAACCCGACTACTTGGACCTGCCGTGGGGGGTAAGCGGCAGGAACGTAGCTTCAAACGCGCAATTTTCATCATAATACGATTCGTTCGTTTTTCGAAAATTAAAAAAAAAAAAAAAAGTGTGGACCATGTACTCGAAATAACGCAAAATGGTAAATAAAAAATTACTTTTAACACTATATCAAATAAACTAAGTTACAATTAATATTAAAAAAAGTTTAATGCACAATAAGCCTCCGAAGTTATTATTCACTGCACGTAACACTATTGGCACTGTATAAAATCTGAAAAGAAACGAACTACATTAAAAATTAATTAAACAACTACATTAAATAATTATAAAAAGTCAATTGCAAATAATTCCAACATAAGTTCAGATATAAATTTTAATGTTGTAATAGTTTTCTAATTCTAATCTTTTTTTCATTATTATTGACTTTGTAGTCAAATATATCAGCCATTTTCAATTAAAAATATTTTGTACAATTATTATACAATACTCATAGTTTAATGTTATAAAATTTAATAAAATTTATACAGGTATTTATTAAAATTATACATATATATGTATAATTTTATTAAATACCTTTTAAATTAAATTTAATTATTAAATAATTATTAAATTTATTTGAATATACATTTTAATTTAAATATTGAATTATTAAATGGAAAATGGAAATAAGAACATATGCAATATATATATCATATGTTCTTATTTCTATTTTTCATTTAATAATTCAATATTTAAATTAAAATGTATATTCAAATAAAATATAAAAAATTGAATTTTATATCATAAAATCATACCTAAATTCTACAGTTGGAATTATTTATATTGTTTAAAATTTTGTATATTGTATAAAATATATACAATATACATTAGATACATATGTACATACATATATCTGTATATATGTACTTGCGCTTTGATTTGATTTATTTTTATTGAATTATAATTAAAAAAAGTTTGAAAACCATTTTTTATTTATATTACTGGATTTACATTATTTTCAATATTTTAATATAATTTTGGCCAAAGAGTTATTTCAAAACCATTACAGAAACTCTTCGGCAAAAATTATTTTGAAATAGAAAAAATAACATAAATCGATTTATATAAATAATGATCGGTTTCCATTTTTTTATTTATAATTCATTAAACAAAATTAAATAAATAAAAACGCAAGCAACACCATGCATAAATCATATATTCAAGAAACTGAATATATGATTTTTTTTAGAAATTACTTGAAAACAGTTTTAGAATAATATTATAATAGTTATTATAAATGACTTACCTTTCACTGTAGTAACTCCACGAGGTCTCAACACAAAAAGACTTAACATTGTTTCTGTGCCAGCTTTTATGGGGGCAAAAAGGCGCCAAAACAATATAAATCGTTACTCGTCATACTCGTTATGTCGTTATGTTTATGTCGTTACCTACATATATTCAAATTCAAATCTTATATTTCTGTCATAGATCGTTATCAATGATAAAATCATTTATCTTTGGTTGTTATCTTATCAATAAATAGTTTTTGGTATTAGGCAATTGATAGCGCTAGTGTTGGCAAAATCACAGAAAACCTGTCATTGTTTATATACATTTGGATTTTTGAAGAAAATAAACAAATAAATTCAGTCTTAAAAGATTTTGAATATCTTTTGGAAAGATTATAGTGATTATATGGATACATATACCTAATTTTAATTAAGTCATAATTTAGTACATTAATATAAAGTGAACCTCTGGGTTTTCCTTTTGAAATTCTATGTCATTTGTCAAATTAATTACTCAATGTCTTTCTATGTAGACAGATTGTAATTTATAAGAAAATAAAAAAATAAAAAATGACTACATGAAAAATTTGTGTACTTGGTATGAAATTATATATACTAAAGATAAAATTAAATTTTAAAATCAAAATATATTTTCAATTTATTCAAGAGTTCTATTATACATGTATAATGCAGTGCAGTGCAATTTATTCAAGTGTTCTAAAATACATGTATATACAGTGCTGGATTTACAGTAGGGGGAGTCGGGACTACTGCCCAGGGCTACAAATTTTCGGGGGCAGCAAAATTTGGATAGTGAAAAAAAATTCTATACCATATAATTAAATAATTTTTTTAATAAAATTTTTAATTTCAAGAAATATAATTAACAAAACATTATACAAATGCATTGCAAAATTTGGCAATTTGGCTAATATAAAGATGTTCTTCAGATCTCGAGCCCTCTTAAGATGACGAATTTGTGCACTTCCAAGCTCATAGCGATGAAAAAAAAACTAAATTAGTGACGCACGTTCGAAATTTTTTGAAAATTATTAAGTTTCATTTATTAAGCTTATTAAAATTGAATTTTATTTGAATAATTCGATTTCTATTGATAGCGAAACGTGCTGATTAGTTATTGGCCAAGACAGGTCCAACTGTTTCGGAAATATGGGCCAAAATGCCAAAAATAATAATTCATTTTTTGAGAAACGGAACGTCCAATATCATTAAAAGAAATTTACATATATAGACAAAATGGAGAACTGATTAAGTTTGTGAAAGGCAGGTCTAGCGGTTTCGGTGACCCAATAAAAAAAATTGAAAGAGAAACATTTGGCGGTCAAAAATGATCATTAACCATATGCACATAAAATTATCAGATATTTTAATAATTTAAATTTTGTTTACATTTCTATGAGTTCTGCAAAATTATTTATCTGTTATTCTGCGAGGCGGCGCTTACTTACTTACGCAGGCCGATCGCTTTAATTTTTTTTTTTAATTTTAATTTTTGGTACTGAAAGTTTCAGCAATTTATCTTAAGGCACGATGCCAAGCACCACTATTTACACTATGTAATGCGTAATAATTTTTTTGCAATCAAATAGTTATTTTAATTTTAGAAAAATGATATATATAAACTATTTTAAGTAAAAAATTTAGGGATGGGGCGGCATTTTTGTCAGTGCCCCAGGGCGCGAAATTTCTAAATCCGGCCCTGTACATATAGCAACAACATTCTATATTACATTCCAAACTTTTTGATATTTTATCAAATAATGAGCTTTTTTCGTAAGAGCCCGCATAAATCTTATATCTTTATAATTGTCAAGACGAACAATGTCAATTTTTATGATTCTTGGTAGGGTTTTTAACCTGAAATTTGATTGATTGATTTGGTTTTTAATCTTCATGTGAGGAAGTGCAAACATTACAGGCCGCTGTGACGTGAAAGTCACATAATTTGATCGGACGTCTTTTCGTTTTATAATATTGGCCATGAAGGTGACAAACTTCAGGGCATTCGTTAATAATTTACACGGAATGGTTGCTACCCCTGGTAGAGGGGGTAGCGGAGTGTTTTAATGGAACTAGTTGTTCACTTCTAAAAGTAAAGTCCGCTTAACAACATGTAAATAATCAATAAAAATAAATATATCTTCTTTCATTATAACTTAGTAACAAATCAGTGATTGTAATTTTAGCTGCAACAAATATATAATATACAAACAGATCAGTATTTAATACAGTCCACAGCTACAAGGGTTAAATTATAACCCAACAACCTGAATTACCGAAGGAGAGTTTTAATAAATTTTATAACTAAGTAACACAAAAGCACATTCATATGTGTACTTTTCATTTACATATACAAGCTTACGATTACTGATTATTTGTCCACTATTTTTATGCATGTAAAACATAAATTCGAAGTTAAAGAAATTAAAAGTATAAAATCTACATCGTGTATAATTCAACTTCCTGATTATGATCCAGTCCCTGAACAACTTCCTGAACTTAAAACATGATATAGCTAAATACAATTATTCTATGAATATTACAATTTCTAAGGGTATGTACCTCTATATCCTTTATCTCATTGTTCCAGTTATTTCATCATCGTAACAAAAGCAACAGTGTCAAATTACGGATTGAAATAATCGATACGGAAATCGATACGTCCGAAGCAGACTCGACGTCGAGCCCAGCTCGCCGATACCGCAGCAGCGCGCCTTGTCCTGGTGAACTGACCCCGAAGCAGACGTTCAAGCTGAGTACGGCCACGATGTGCGAATGCCAGCCGCTCAGCGATACTCAGGTCACTCTGCACAAGACCAAAATACAAAATAAGGTAAGGTAAATGTAAAACTATGAATTATTAATAAACTAATGGTGTTTATGGCATCGTGCCTTAAGACAAATTGCTAGAACTTCCCGTGCCAATTTTTTTTTTAAGATTAATTTTATTTTTAAACTTTGAAAAAATTAGATTTTTGAGAAATTTTACATTTTGAAAACATTGACTTCTTAGGAAAAAAGCTTCACTCTTTTAATGAGCACTTCATATGGCTGGCTGGAACTTTCCGTACCAGATTCAAAAAAGACAAAATTTATTTTTAAACATTAAAAAAACTAAATTTTTGAGAAAATTTACATTTTGAAAAAAATTGACTTTCTAGGAAAAAAGCTCCACTCCTTTAATGAGAACTTTATATTCAATAATTATAATGAAATAAACATAAGAATTAAATGTGCATGCTTCGTCATAGATTCTGTCAGCGACTGAAACGCAAGGCGAAATTCTAAATTTCTTCTTTTGGAAGTTTGTTTTTTTTATTAAATTTATACTTCTGATTTTATTATTTAAAGAAAGCTTGTTGATAATTTCCATCTACATTATATTTTATTAACTTCCCGAAGGAGAAGTTTGTTTTTATCAAAACATCCGAATTTTATGTTTTCTCGATGTTTTAATCCATTCTGAATCGAATGAGACCAAATTTGGTAAAAGTTTGTGTGTGAATGTGTGAACAGATTTTTTGCCGAAAATCGATGTTTTCTCCAAAACGGCTGGACCGATTTCAAAAATTTAAAAGCCATTCGATGTATCTCGATGAGGACTAGCATTCTGACTTCTATTATATGTAGCCGCTTCTTTGTAAATTACAGAAAAGTGAAAAAATTTTCGTCCGCGTTTTTTTAGCCCGTAATTCTGAATCGATTTTGAAAATTCAAAAACCGTACGATAGATATTGGTTAGGAACCGTGCTAATTAGTTTAAAGATCGGCCGGCCATTTTCTTGTAACAAAGTTTTAAAAAAATCGACGATTTTCATGATTTTTTTATGGTAGATACCATAGTCTTGTAGATCATACTAAATTATTTTCTTACTAAAACAAGTCGTTTAATCTTAAAAATTCTTTAAAGATTGCAAAAATTAGTATCGTTTTTTTTTGCATTTGTTGAAATTAGACCTTTGATAGACGTTTTCTCAAAAACGCCTGAACCGATATCAGGAATTTAAAAGCCATTTGATGTATTTCAATGAGGACTATAGTTTGTCAGTTTTGTGAGACGGTCTGCCGAGCCGTTTCTTTGTAATTTGAAAAAAGTGTTAAACTTTTCGTCCACATTTAAGCTCAAACTACCGAATCGATTTTAAAAAATCAAAAACTGCTCGAAAAATATTAGTTGGGAATGATTCTGATTAGTTTTAGATGAAAATCTACCGAGCCGTTTTCTTGTAATTAAATATTGCAAAAAAATTAAGACGATTTTTATGGAACTTTTTTCGTCGATATATATCATGGCCTCTTACTGAAATATTACGGCCTTACGATAAGTAGTTTAATTTTAAAAATTCATCAAAGTTTGAGAAAATGAATAGTTTTTTTTTAAATTAAAATTAGGCGATTTACTTGGTATAACGATAGAGTACTTGGTCTTGATGAACATACTAAACCATTAAAGTCTTACGAATACTGGTTCAATTATAAAAAATATTGATTTTTAAAAATTTGCTTTTAGAACATACTCCGAGTTAACGTTTTCGTTCGTTTTAAATTATGTGTAATAAATCCACTCGAAATGCTTTTAATCACTTATAAATTAATTAATTTTTATTGATTAAGTCGATTGTTTACACATATCGGGAAGTTCATGTAACTTGTCTCAAAGCAAAATACCAATACCAACTGAAATATTAAAAAAAAACAAATTAAAATATGTGCGTTCTATAGTATTCAATATCATAAATAATACTTAATATTTCTAAATTTTACCAACTACAAGTTTTACATAATACACCCTAAAAGTTTTTATTTAAATTTTAGATTTCCGGCAATTTCATATGATGTTATAGCAAACCATAAAAAATAATTAAACTAATGGCACACGTTTCAGGATTTGATAAAAATCACCATCAATAGTATTTGTTTAAAAATAGACAATATCAAAAGTGATATTTATTATTGCAAATTGAACTACGAATGATATACGACATTACATATGACGATAGCGACAAAGAATAAATTAACTAATGAAAAATTATTGATAATGATTGGTGTCGAAAATATACGAGTATAATATCAATAATTATATTTAATATTACAAAATAGAACTTACATGTATATTACATCCTAACAATTTATTATCTAATTTTTGTATCGTTTGCCAAAGTTTTGAGTCTTTTATATACTCATTTTGGTACTCAATTTTATAACACAAATCAGCATTTATTTTTAAATATTATTAATATACTGGTATAAATTATTTGACTGTTATAGCTATTTCCTGCCCATAAATTCCAATCCCAATTTTGTACTCAATTTATAACTCAACCCAACATTCATTTTTAATATTATTATTAATATACGACAAACGCCTGTAATCGAATTTTTTAAATTTCGTGATTAAAGAATGAAACAACACACTAATGCTTCCCATCGAGTTTTATATTATAAAATCCAATTATGTGCGAATTTGCAAACATTCCAAAAGTTGGTGAACATTAGCTCAAATGCGATCAGCAATTTTCAATTAGAATTGTTTATTATTTGTTACGCGCTTCGATAGTTCGTCTATATGCAGCTAAAGCAGTGCGATTGCTTTGAAAAAAAGTTCAAAATTCCCAAAATATTTTTTTTAAATAAGTTTTTTTTCCAAAAAAGTCATCTTTTTTTTTCAAAAATTAAAAATTTCTCAGAAATCTGATTTTTTCAAAGTTTCAAAAAAAAAATCTTTTGAAAAAAATTAATTTTTGGTACAGAAAGTTCCAGGAATTTGAATTAAGGCATGATGCCCCACACCACTAGTTGAATTTTTTGAAACCCAAATGTACTACATAATTTTGAAAGCAATCAAAAATTTTTATCGAACAAAATAAAGAAATATAAACTATTCCTATTGATTGCATATATGGAAAAATTGCACGATCAGAATATAAATCTGCATTTAAAACTCGTATAAATGTAGCTATTAGCATAGTTAGAGCACATTGGAAATACTGTGCATGCCTTTATTATACAACTCGGAACCGAACGTGCTGCTCGATTCCTATGGGACAAATATTGCGAAATGAAGCCATTGCCATAACCATTGGCTATAACCATCATATGAAAATATGTTGCAAATACTGCAGATATCAGCTTTACGAACTGACATTTGAAAAACTATATATACATTTAACAGGGAGACAGAATTACTAGACCGATAGTTATTTGATCAAACGTATCAAGTTTACCTATATTTGGATAATAATAGCTTAGGTCGCAACTTAAAAGACTTTTGTTCTTTAACTAAATATATTTGAATTTTTTTTTTATATTTTTAACTTATCTAAGTATTACATTTTCATAGCAATGTTGCATTTAACAGAGGGACAAAATTACTAGTCTGATAGTTATTTGATCAAATATATCAAGTTTACCTATATTTACCTATATTTGGACAATAATAGCTTAGGTTGCAACTTGAAGGGCTTTTTCTCCATTAACTAAATATACTCGAACATTTTTTTTTTATTTTTCTTTATCTAAGTATTACATTTTTCTAGCTATGTTGCATTTAACAGGGGGACAAAATTACTAGACCGATAGTTATTTGATCAAACTTATCAAGTTTACCTATATTTGGATAATAATAGCTTAGGTCGCAGATTGAAAAAATTTTCCTCCATTAACTAAATATACTTGAACATTTTTTTATATTTTTAACTTCTTCAAGTATTAGTTTGTTTTCAAAAATTTGATTTGCTAATTTTATATCGATGTTTAAAGTCATTCTGAATCGAATGAGACCAAATTTGCAAAAGGTATGTGTGTGTTCCTTAGCTGATTTTTTATCTTTTGTTGACGTTTTCTCAAAAATGGCTGGGCCGATTTAAAAAATTTAAAAGCATTTTGATGTAACTCGATAAGGACTAAGCCATTTCTTTGTAATAAGCAAAAAAGTAAAAATTCCTGTCCATGTCCAGCCTAAAATTTTTAATCAAAAATAATAGTTCAAAAGCTGTTCGAAATATATTGATTGGGAATAGCGTTGATTAGTTTTTAGTAAAGATCGGCCGGCCGATATTAAAAACTCGTATGTTCAATATAAGTAAACAACAAATAAAAATTAATACAAAATTATTTTTATTTTTATATTTCATCTGTTAAGATAATTAAACATGAATGTCGATTAATTTGAATCTAAAAGTTTTAAAAGTTGAAGGCAAGGAATCATAATTGCTATATTTGAAATAAGCATTGCTAAATAACATGAAATTATTATAATATATTTTATTTTATTAAAAATGTTGATATAAGTGCAATATATTCTTAAAATTATACCACATAAAATATTTTCTCTTGTTAATCAAAAACTGAATAAAAATTGAATTTTTTTACTGATCGAATCATTTTATATATTTTCAACAAATATTAGAATTATGTCTATTATAACTTATATATATATATATATATATATATATATATATATACTATTAATTTATTATTTTTTGCAGTATAAAAATGGGACAAGTGTCGACTTCGCTCCATTCGTTTCAATATCTGCTAAAATATATATGTCATTTTATAGATTTTATCTATGCAGAGTTTGATTGATAGATTTATGCGTTATACCTTAAAATATTTATTGAAACTGTATCAAACTAGTTGGCAAGTTACACGAACTTCCCGATATGTGTAAATAATCTACTTAATCAATAAAAAATAAATTAATTTATGAGTGATTAAAAGTATTCCGAGTCGATTTATTACACATAATTGAAAACGAACGGACAAGTTAACTGAGAGTATTTTCTAAAAATAAATTTTTATGGTTTAGTATGTTCATTACCAAGTACTCTATCGTTATACCAAGTAAATCGTCTTATTCTTAATTTCAACAAACGTCAAAAAAACTACCTATTTTCTCCAACTATTTGTCATAAAACGTAATATTTCAGTAAGTTCTATAAGACCATGATATAAAAAAAGTTCCATGAAAATCGGCTTAAACTTTTTTTTCAACAGTTAATTATAAGAAAACGGCTCGGTAAATTTTCATCTAAAACTAAGCAGTATCATTCCCAACTAATATTTTTCAAACAATTTTTGATTTCTTAAAATCTATCCATTAAATGTGGGTGAAAAGCTTAACTTTTTTTTTCAAATTACAAAGAAACGGCTCAGCAGATAGTCGCACAAAACTGACAAATGATAGTCCTCATTGAAATGCATTAAATGGCTTTTAAATTTCTGAAATGGGTTCAGGCGTTTTTGATAAAACGTCGATCATAGGTCTAATTTTGACAAATGCCAAAAAACGATACTAATTTTTGCAAACTTAGACTAATTTTTAAAGTTAAACGAGTTGTCGTAGAGCCGTAATAATTTAGTATATTCTATAATACTATGGTATCTACCGTCAAAAAAAATCATAAAAATCGTCGAAAAAAAAATTGTTAACACTTTATTACAAGAAAACGGCTCGGGCGATCTTTACCAAAAACTAATCAGGTCGATTCCCAATCAATATCTTTCGGACGGTTTTTGAATTTTTAAAATCGCTTCAGAATTGCGGGTTAAAGCCTGGACATTTTAAACGTTTTCACTTTTCTGCGATTTACAAAGAAACGGTTCGGCCAATCGTACCGGAAAACTGACAAACGATAGTCCCCATCGAGCCACATCGAATGGCTAAATTTTTGAAATTGGTCCAGCCGTTTTTGAAAAATCGTCGATACGGCAAAAAATCTGTTTACACACACACACATACTTTTTCCAAATTTGGTCTCATTCGATTCAGAATGGCTTAAAACGTCGAAAAAACATAAAATCAGCGAATCGGATTTTTTTATAAAAACAAACTTCTCCTTCGGGAAGTTAATACCAATGTGTGTGTGCAAATAAAATTCATATGTGAGTCTAAAGTTTTCAAACTGTTCTAAACTTTATCCTCAGCTGTCTTCGCCTTCGTACCGCGATTCCCGCATGGAGTACGCAACAACGTTCGCCCTGGGATCAACGGGTTCCCCACGGTCGCCGTTCAACCGAGCGCGGCCCCTGCGCCAGAGGATCTCCAGCCTGCGCCGGGAAACCAAGACAGCTCAAACACTTTCCATAGTTGTCGGCGGTTTCGTGGCTTGCTGGCTACCTTTCTTTATATACTATATACTTACACCATTCCTGGTGCAAACTGACGTCAGCGACCAGCTCATGTCCATACTGACCTGGTTAGGCTGGATAAATTCAGCGATAAATCCGTTTATTTATGCGTTTTATAATGTGGATTTTAGAACGTCATTCTGGAGGTTGACTATTGGTAACTTTTATAAAAGAAGGTAGTGAAAATGTTGCACAGTTATTGAATATATGTTCTCGTAATTGAGATATGGGATGAAGGGGGATCAGACGCTTAGACTGAATTTAGAAATTTAATTGATAGCACTATAGCGTACGACTAGAGAATCATTAGAAAAAAATGAGTTATTTGGAACTCGGAAACTACATTATTTTTAATTTGACTTAATTCGAATGGATTAAGTATCGTATACATCTTAATCATATATAGCTCATGAAATTAATCACGTTTTGCAAAAGATTTTATACTATATTTTATGTGTGGGATGTATTTTGTCAAACAATTAATTTGTAACAAAAATTGCTATAAACTACCACATATATATAAATAATAATTGTTAAAACAAACACAACAAAGCTATAGGATTATCAATTAGTATAATATAAATTATAATTAATTATTCTTTGGCCAGAAACAATATATATATATATATTAGGGTTGTCCTTAAAATGGTCATTTTCGAATTTCCTTGCTTCCAGGGGCTCAAATGGTTCCAAATAGATAAAAAACAATTCTCTGAAAATTTTATTAGCTCTCAATATTAACGTTTAGATAGAGCGCAATTCAATCAAAGTTTTGTATGGAAATAGCATGAAAAAATTTTCAAAAATTTTAAAAATGTTTTTTAAATGTAATTTAGCGAACAAATGAATGAATAAAACTCATTCATTTGTCGCTAAGTTATACTTAAAACATTTTTTTTTAATTTTCAAAAATTTTTCCATGCTCTTTCCATACAAACTTTGATTGAATTGCACTCTATCTAAACGTTAATATTAAGAGCTAAAACTTTCAGAGAATTGTTTTTTATCAATTTGGAACCATTTGATCCCCTGGGAGCAAGGAAATTCGAAAATGACTATTTTAAGGACCACCCTAATATATATATATATATATATATATATATATATATATATATATATATATATATATATATATATATATATATTAACTCTGTTTTATTCAGCAATCAGAAATACATAAGAATTCCTATAAGCTAAATTGACAATATTTGAGAGCGATGTCCAAGAAGAACTCCAATGAGATCTTCTTAGTTTAATCATTAAAAATATAATGATATATTGAAGCTGATCTAAGACTAAATCTAAAGGCAATTGACGTTTCAATCTTCCTACGCCAAATGATTGGATAATGTCGCCTATTGATGGGTTGGAATGTGATTCCAGTTTACGTTTATATTTTTCTTTAAATTCTTTGAACGTTAATGCACCGTTTTCATGTTGAGATCGCTGTGAATGGTTTCATTTGTAACGTACCACGGAGAATTAAGTATTATACGTAAAATTTTTGACTGAGTTCTCTGCATTATAGCTATATTTGATTTATCAACATCCCCAGAACTCAATTCCATAGGTCCAGATTGGTTTAATAATTGCTTTATATAGCAGCAACTTATTTTCAACAGAGAGCTTAGACTTTTTACACAGTAGGCAATCAAATTCTTTCATTTTGATCATTATTTTCTGCTTTTTTGTTTTTATGTGACTTTTACAAGTAAGTCTGCTGTCTAAATGGAGACCAAGATATTTTACTATGTTCTGTTTCGGAATCTGGATTTTTTTGCAATAGAAATAGTTATAAATAAAACTTTGAAACTAATTCATATATATACACTATAGTAATTCACGGATTTCTAAACTGAAATTATTATATATATTAATATTAATTAATGGTTTATTTTCAAAGTTACTATCGATTACATATCACAATTTTGTGAACTACTACGGTGCATAAATTATGCATAAATGGATTATTTCCAAATTCAATATTATAATTCATATAATTTCAGTTTAAAAATCTGTGAACTACTATACATGATTAGTTTTAAAGTTTCATTTATAATTAATAGAAGTATATACTTTTATTAGAAAAAATCAGTTGATATTGTTTCTGGTCAACGAATAATTAATTATAATTATAATATTATAATCGAATTAATAAAATAAAAGACACGGTAAATTAACTGCAGAAATATAATTTCTTTATGAAAATTTTTACATGTCAAACAAAATTTCATAAATGTATAAATAATTTTACCAAATAGTAAGTTTTGTCTTAGCGTCCTATTTGAACTTGAAAAGGCGCAATTTTTAATGTATTATTAATTTGTTTTATAATAAAAAATGTAAATCTAAATTATTACCCACAACAATTTGAAAATACCTTGTTAGATCATATTCGCTTTGACATCATTTATGAATTCATAAATAAAATATCTTAAGATATCATATATTCTAATATTGTCTAGGTCATTTATCATTGCTAGAATTTTGTTTTTGTCGGTCACCGGATTATAAAAGTAAGTTATTATTTATAAATAGATGTAGTTACTTGTAAATATTTGTGTGATTAATATATTAAAAGAACATATTAAAACTCGCTTAATAACATTACAAGAATATCGAATAAGCTGGAAACGAATTCAATATAGTCGAGTCCAGTTAGATTCGTATTAGATTCGTGGATCTGTAAATGTAAATGAGTGCCATAGAACATTATGTTTTGTGCTATTTGTGATTTAAGTTACAGTTAAAATAAATTTAATTTCATACGGGTAGCCTATATATAAGGCCAATGAGGCTTTGAGTCGTCATTTTAATATAAATAAAGATTTTTTTTACTAATCTTTTTTATATTGTGTTTATTGATAAGATACAGAAGTAATAAGATTTTTTTTATAATTGCAAAATTTATAAAGTGTGCATACAGGTTGTTTTTTAAAGTCGTGTAAATAAATACTTGCCATCTGGTAAGAAAATTTTACTTCACTTATTATAGCTCGAAGAGACAACTATTAAGAGTTTTAGCTTGCAAAGTTAATAAGCAGAGTTCAAAATAATAGTGATATTTCTTATTAAAACAAAAACTACAAGTATATTAGGTGATGAATGGTTTATATTATCGTAACAATTTTTATATAAAAATATTTTGAGCCTTTGCATGAAATATTTAGAAGTTGAATTATTAATTTTAAGATAAATTATGAACAATATTATGTTGCTTGCAAATCTAGTCAAATTAATATATCAAATAATTAAGCTTTTAATAATTACATAGGTTAGTAGAAATTAAATTGTATATATTTGTGAGTTAAAATTAATTTAAGAATTCGTTAATGCTTTATTTTAATTGAAAATTTAAAACAAAAACAATTAATCATAACTAGTGCTATTTTAACATTTTGTACCAAAAATTTATGATAAATTGCTTATATTTATAAAAAAAATGTTAATTACTAAATTTAAACATACAAATGGTATTAATAAACTCATTTTATTGCCAATGTAACAAACAGAACATCAAACCTAATGGTTTTAAAAATAATATAATAATAATACTTCTATGGATAAGATTATTAACAGAATAAATTCTAAAGATTATTACGATAAGATTAATATCACAAATATGCTTAAAATGAAGGACTCCGGTTAAGTTAGCAAGCTTCCTTGTACAATTTCAAAACACATTTTTTTTCTAAAATATGGCATATCTTGTTGAGTAAAAGACAAACTTGCATTGCGAGTTAAATACTCTGCGTTAGTACATGTAAACACACCACAGTCTGTTCCATTTAATTGTTGAGGAATTCCCTAAAAAAAAGATAATTCCAAAATAAAATTCAATACAAAATATATTGTTATTTTTGTGAGTGATATGAAATCACTCACGCTATAATTAACTAATCTAGTAATTAGGTTCATTAAATTAAAATAAATAAAAAAAATAAATGCAAAAATATTTCGGTATAGATTTTTAAAAAACCTTCATATTGATGTGATAAGAATGATTTATTCTGAAGTTACCTTCATACAACTAAGTTTCCATTTATTAACATCAAGAATTTGATGTTTCTTATCCCATAGTTCGTCTGATAAATATTGCAGTAACTTTTTACTGGAGTCAATATCATTATGGCCCAAACTGTCATAAAATTCTATAACTTTTTTTTTCATGTTAATCAGGAATAGACACCAGTGAACGTCATTCTGATTAAATGGTATAGGGATCAAATCATAGCTGAAGAGGTCAACTTTTCGAGTCCACCTTCTAAGTGACTCGAATTCCCCTCTACAAAGTTTGGTAAAAAAAAATGTGCTCATGACATAAACCTGTGAATAAATCATTAGTATTTATTATGATTTACATCTCATAAATATATATATATATATATATATATATAATATATATATATATATATATATATATATATATGATATCAAATGTTCACCTTTGGGAGAAGATCATTTCTTTGGCTTCTTTCCATAATCAAATTTAGATAAAAATTTATGACTTGATCATTAAGCCATTCTGAATGCTGCAAACATTTAATATCTTCTCTTGTTATAGTTATGCTAAATTTTGTAATTAATTTTTCTCTAGAAGGTCCGTTATAAAATGCATTTCGAACTACATCTTCCTGTTCTTTATCTAATTGTTTTGCAAGAATCACATCTTCATCTTCAGAATCAGTTTCAAGATTTATTACATTCGATATTTGCAAATCTTTAAAAGATTTTCCATCTAAGATAGATTTCCGATTATGATTTTTCTTTATTGCTTCTTGAGGAGATACCTCTATTACTTCCCTAAGAAATATTTTTTTATTACTAAAGATCAAAAATGCTTATTTTATTTCAGAGAAAGACCACAGTCCTTAGTCAACTAAAATTAAATTTAATTAACCTGTCTCTAATTGCTATAATAGATTTACAGCATAAGCCATCAAGAAAAAAAATAACAAAACAACAAAAAAAGTAATGTGGATGTTGATAAAAATATGAATTCAAAATATTAATTTGTTTCCATCAAAAATGTTGTATTCATTTTGGTCCACTACAGTGGAATTTTTCAAGTATTTTTTCTAACTTACGAATCAGAACTATCATCTACAACTTCTGCTTTCTCGACCAATTCTGAAGAATTTACTACAATGACATCATCATCGGATTTCACTACCACAACA